GGGGGGAGAGGGGGATGAGGGGAGATATGGGGGGAGTGGGGGGGGGGGGGGTTTCACGGTGGAGGAGACGTCTTTTTTTTCGGAGAGGAGCCGGGTGAGGGAAAGAAGGGTAGACTAGATCAGAATTCTTGTTGTATTTCGTTATATCGTAAGAAAGTTAAAAAAAAACGCCGTGTATATGATATCTCCTAAATCCCACCAGTATTCAATATGTGAAAAAAAAGAAGAAAAAAAGAAAATCAGCACATGCCGGTCAAGACGGACATGCCGTTGGCATTGTCTACTCCCGCCATTATCGCCTCCTCGTCTTCAAGCAACTTGTCAATCTTGGCTTTGGTCTTGATTCTCCAAAAGTCTTGTGCGCCATCGACAAATTTTGTGCTGATGTTCTCCACATCTTCAGCAGGACAGGCAGCAAAGCACAGCCTGAAGCAGTTGAAGCTATCCTTTTGGCGAATCTGCTCGGTTGCAGCAAACATGCTGCCAGGAGCCACAAGGCAGAGGTAGGGCTTGGTTGTCCAAAAGATCCAGAGAGCCCTGGAGAGGCGGGAGCGCGGGACTTCTCTGGCAAGAGGGTGCGATGAAAAGTCGAAGCGGACCCATACGAACATGCCGCCTAGTGGGCGGACAAATGTGTACAGTGGCTTCTTCTCAACAACCGTCCAGTCGTCCTCTTGGTCAGTGACATCAGCAAGACTCTTGCGGCGCCCGGCCTTGACAAGCTCCTTGCCAGAGTCGAGCGAGTCACACATTTTCTGCATGCGTCGCTCGTAGTTGCCGCGAAGACCCTCGAGCCAGCGCACCCAGCCTTCGACTTTCCAGCCGCTTCCGTCTGATGCGCCTCCCTTTCCAGGGTCTCTGGACGATTGCGGGCCCATGAGTAATTCTGCAACCATGGATTGCACGAAACCAGACGGTTGCTGGGTTGAGGTCTCGGTGATACGCACGAGACGCTCGATAAGGGCGGGCTGTGCGGTGATCCAGCCAAGACGGCACCCTGGAGCGACAGTCTTGGAAAAGGTGTCGAGGCGTACCACGCGGCCCTGGTAGTCGACGCTGAGATATGAGGGGATCAGGCTATCCAAAAACTCAAAACCTGACGACTTTTGGGGCTCGACGGGGGCGGTTCCACTGGGCAATGAAGAGGGGTATTGCAGGTACCAATATGGATCGTCTTCAACGATGACGATGTCGTACTTTACGCAGAGGGCATAGATTTCGATGCGTCGCTGGACGGAGAGGGTGCCAGATGTGGGGTTCTGGCCGATGGTGACGGTGTACATGATGTGTGGTCGACGACCCTTTGAAAAGTCCCAGTTTTCCAGGACATCTTGTAGACCGCCTGGGCCGGACACCATCATTCCCTCGTTGTCAATGGCAACAGGTGCAATGTTGAAGCCCCGTGGCTTGGCGGTCTGGATAGCGTTCATGTAGCAGTAGGTTTCGCACAGCATACCGGGTCGCTCTTCGACGGGGTCATGCTCTGCTGACCACTCGTTGCTGAGGGCGGTCAATGTCTTTGAGAAGCCATCGGTAGAACCACAGGTCAAGAGGATCTCGGGCCCGTCCTTGTATGGAACAAAGGGGTGCAGGTTTTCGCGAGTAAACTGGCGAATGAAATAGTACAGGGGAGGATATCCCTGGGCCTGGCCGTATTGCAGTGCCGACTTGAGGTCGATCATGCGCAGAGGGTCCTGCACGTTGGAGTCCTTTGGTACAACCAGACGCGAGGCAGGTAGCTGCTTGGCCTTCTTACGCGAAAAGGCCCAGAATCTGTTTTGCTGCACGGACGGAGGGTCCTCAGGCGGAGGGTCGAGGGGCTTGTTTGGAGTAGGCTGCCATCGGTCAGGGCGGGCGACCTTGGCCTCGAGTGTGTCATATGGAAAGTAGTGGTCATCGGGAAGGCCTGGCAGTTATGAGCAATTGTAATGATTGTTGTAGCATAGGTTAGTATCTACCTCCAGCTAATTGAGCAATGCCCGGGATCTGAAAGTATTTGTAGAATTGCTTGACAGTGGACGCTTCACGGGCCTTTGTGCTGCGTGATAGCAAGTGGGCCAGACTGACTGGCTCTGGAAAAGAGCTTGGGTCGGAAGTGTATGGTGCCATGGTAGATAAGCAGCGCAGCCAGGCGAGCTTTGTAATTAAGGGTCTACCGAAAACGAGGGGGCAGTGAGGATGAGAGAGGGAGAGACAGGCTGGGAGACCGAGGACTGGAGGATAAGGGCGTGGTGATTAGAAATGTCGGTAGTGACCTCAGCATGTATGCGTGTCGCAGCTAAACCCCAACGGGCTGCATGCGGGCGCCTTGACGTTAAGCCGGCCATAGTCCCCACCCAGGCCAGCGCTGTATGGCCGTGTGTGTGTTTCACTTTGTCGTGTCCACGTCTGCTACACGTAGGCAAGCGTATGTGTATATAAGAGGTGTACAGCTGTAAGTATGCAGTCCACCATGGCTGGGCTGGCCACGTGCTGGTGCAGCGTTGCAGCGTATTAGCGCGCGAGGCCGACGGCGTGGGAAACCCCACAGGCTCGGCCTCGTCGTCATGCAGGTCCCGGCGACTCCCACGGCTCCCGCTTCCAAACTTCGCCTTCTCCTGTGCCCGGTCCGGCCGTCATCCGTCCTGGCTGATCGCTGATTAACTGTATTATACAAAAATCGGTTTCTTGGCCTTGGCCTCGTTTCTCTCCCTCTCTCTGCGCTGTACAAGATCCATTTCCATGCCATCTGCAGCCCGCCCAGCTCGCATCCACACCATCCCCACCCATTGCTATCGATAACCTCCCCAGAAGCCTCGGCCCATCGCCACCCCCCAGCCTTCAAACTGTCGTCCTCGCCCACGTCCCGCCACGAGTTGGCGTCGCTCCAGGACATGGACACCCATCAGGGCGTCTATGACGACGAGGGCGCCCCTCCGCCCATCTATCGCGACAATGATCACGCCAGTCTGCGCTCCAACGAGTCGGCCGAGCTCATTGCCGCCTCCGAGGCCTCTGCTCAGGAGTACTACAGCCCACCACACCAGTCTTATACGACCAAATACTTACCCCCACAACTGCAACGCGCATGGCACAGTACTGTCGTTTGGGTCGAGGGCCCACAGCCGCCGCGACCCTGGAAGATCCGTCCATTCTTTCCAAATGTCCAAGCTGCGCCCATTCGCCTCTTGAACAACTACTTCCCAAAGAGGAAACAGAAGATTGCCCTGCTCGTCTTCTTCTACTTTTGCTGGATCCTGACTTTTGGCCTTGTTCTGCATCGTAGCGCCTTTGCAGCAGACATACCAGGCTACGGCAGCCCAGTGCGCGTGCGATGCACAGATCGCTTTTGGAGCGACGGCAATGGCTGCGGCCTCAATGGTGATCTGTGCCGGCCCTTTGAGAACAGCACCATGCCTTTTCGCTGCCCCGCAAACTGCAAGCGCGTGCAGTTGATCTATCCCCATGCAGTTGGAGACCAGTTGGTGAATTACCGTCCACTCGTCGTAGGCGGGCCTACAGACGACGAGGGATCGCTCGAAAACACTTATTACCGTGCCGACTCGTTCATTTGCGCTGCCGCCATCCATGCTGGCTTCATCAACGACGCTTCAGGTGGATGCGGTGTCGTTGCTCAGATTGGCGAAAAGACGGATTATCCCAGCGTTGACCGCAAGCACATCAAGGGCACTGGCTTCGATTCCTACTTTCCACGCTCCTTTTCCTTCCTCTCCGGAACTGCAACAAAGTGCCGCGACCTGCGATGGCCCCTGCTCGGTGTTTCCCTGACATTCACTATTCTCTTGTCACTCTTTACCACATCACCACCCGTATTTTTCACTTCAATATTCCTAGGCGTCTTCGTCCACGTTGCGCTTGCTTCAGACCCACCGAATCTGACAGACTACTATGCCATTGTCAGTATAATGCTCGCGCGCCTGCTCCCGGCATGCTTTTGTATGTATGCCGTCTACCGATTCGCCGTACGTCGCCAGCTCGAGGGCCTGGACGCGCACATAGAGAAGACGCTTCTCTGGCTAGGAGGATGCTGGATAGGCGCTCTGAACAACTATACCTTTGACAAGATCCCCATCGAGCGACTCACGCCGCACGAGATCCAGAACCAGCCCGGCGCCATCCCCGCTCTTATCATCATTGTTCTTACCCTATTCTTTATTGCTCTTGGCCAGGCCTGGGCTTTTAGGGTTGAGGGTCGTCTTCCTCGCTACCTTGCCATTTACGGCATCTTGGTCGCAGGCATACTTACACTTGTCGCGATACCCAAGATGAACGTTAGGATTCATCATTACATCCTTGGCCTTCTTCTTGTTGCGGGCACGTCTATGCAGACCCGGCCCTCCCTTCTCTACCAAGGTATCCTTATTGGTCTGTTCATTAATGGCGTTGCGCGCTGGGGCTTTGCTAGCATCTTGGAAACACCCAGCGCTCTTCGTGGTGATGCGCCCAGCGGTACCCCTCTCCCTATTATTACAGCCCCCGTCATTCACAATAATGTGGATGTAGCTCATATTAAGCCCAACATAACTTTTGACTGGCAGTATCCATTCCCGGCGCCCTATGAAGGCATGAGCGTCTTGGTTAATGATGTGGAAAGATACCACGACTTTACAGACAGGATGGATGATAGCTGGACCTGGACTCGGCACATGGAAGGTGTAAATGAGTACTTTCGCTTTGCATACTTGAGCGGTGGTCGACGAGGTGACTATACAAAGGCTGGGGTTTGGCGAGCAGATGGTGGGTGGACAGAGATGGAGCCAGGGCCATCATAATGTTTTTTTAGACACTGTAGAGAAGGTTGGGTATGTGATTGTACGCACATGTTGCGATAGGGAAGCATTCATTTGTCATCGAAGCACCCTCGCAGATTGAAGTAGAAACTTGCTTGAAGCAATTGGTAGGGTCGGCCGAGAGGGGTACATTTAGTCAGCCACAATAGGTTTAGTAAGGGAGATGCTTCTCGCATCACAACCATGTCGTCAATCCTAGTTGATTGCACGGAATATACTGTGGTCCGCTAGCCCCGATGTCTTGCACGCAATTTGTCAGGAGGATTGTGTTTGTGGAGTTCGGCCCAAGCAATGGCCGAGGAGGGGTAGGAAAAGGCATCATTTACACTACTCCAAGTTGGACTTTAGTCCGACCGGACATGCCTCATTAGAAATACACATGAAACAGTGGGGACGCTACTGTCCAAGACGTACTACCACGTATATACATATATGAGCGGAGAAGGTGCTGTCAACGTCCAGCTTGCACCTCATAACTTCCCACCCCCGCCACCACAACACCACCACCACCACCACCATCTCAGCAAGCACAACCACAAACGCTGTCAAAATGGTCAAGACGATTTTCGGAGGATTTCCCCTCTCAGACCAGGCATACTTCAACACCCACGAACAGCGCACTGAAGTCGTTGAAATCCTAATCAAGAATGGCATCAAGAACATTGACACAGCACGCATATACACCGGATCTCAAGAGGCCATTGGCAAGCTTGAGAAGCGCAAGGATTTCACCATCGATACCAAGCTGCCCGGTGGCTTCGGTCCCGGCACTGGCACAAAGGAAAATGTCATCAAGGACGCCCAAGACTCGCTGGACACCGTGAACATTGAGCAATTCGACATCCTCTACATCCACGCCCCAGACCCATCGATTCCCTTTGAGGAAACCCTCGAGGGAATCAATGAAGTCTACAAGAAAGGCATCTTCCGCCGCTTTGGCCTGAGCAACTTTAGTGCTGAGCAGGTGCAGCAAGTCTACGACATTGCAAAGGCAAAGGGATACCCACTGCCCTCTGTCTACCAAGGAAACTACAACCCCGTCGCCCGCCACCTGGAGACGCAGCTCTTCCCCACCCTGCGCAAGCTCGGCATCCACTTTTACGCCTACTCGCCTCTCGCCGGCGGTTTCCTAACCAAGACAGCCGCAGACCTCGACTCGGGCGCAGGCCGCTTTAACAAGGAGGCCCTAGGCGGCCTCTACAGCAAGCTCTACAACAAAGAGCCCATCCGCAATGCACTGTCCAAGTGGAACGACATTGCCGAAAAGGAAGGCGTCTCCAAAGCCGAGCTTGCCTACCGATGGGTTGCCTTCCACAGCGCCCTCCAGGGCGATGAAGACGGTGTCATTTTCGGGGCTAGCAAGCTGCCGCAGGTGGAGCAGACGGCCCAGTGGCTCAAGAAGGGAAAGCTGAGCGACGAGGCGGTCAAGGGCATTGATGCGGTTTGGGAGAGTGTCAAGGAGGTTGCGCCTGTGGATAACTATCATAGCAGGGGGTAGACGGTGACGTTGCATGCAAAGCAACGGGGGGAGAAAAGAAACTCCGAGGCATGTGGGTCATGCATTTGTCTTGGTGGAGACATAACGTCAGCATAGAGAAACGTTAGTTAGCGTATGAAGTAAATGTAAGCAATGAACTTGTTCTTTTTTTTTCTTCTTCTTCCAAGTTACATGCATGATATCGTTTGAGCTATGCATCTGCGAGTAGAATGTTTCGCTGCCCCTTGTTGCAGAAATCATAATTTTGCAATCTCTCTCCCCCTTGCCCGATATTCCCGTAAGTAAGTAAATCATGCAGTAGAAAACTCGCAAAGTAAAAACAAAAAACAAAAAGATGAAGCAATCCCCCCAGCATTCACCCGCCAAAATCACTTCTTCCTCACAACCGTAACACCAGGTGTAACAGGCACCCTCCTCTTCTTCTTCGGCGTCGCCTCATTCTTCTTCGGCTTCGGCTTTGGCTTCTCAACTTTGGCCTTGGGCGCTGTTTTCTTCCTTGCCGTTAGCACCGAGATGCCTTCTTCTTTCTTCACGTCGTCGTTTGCTTTTGCCTTTGCCTTTGCACCTCCCTCTTCATCAAGAAGCAAACCGTGTTCCTTGATCCAAAAAATAACATCCAACGCCACATCCACAAACTCCTGTATTCCACGTATCAGCTTGAACGACTTCTTGTTACTTTCCAGGCCCGCGCGCCACCGGTCGATGACGGCGAAGAAGATGTCGTCGACGTTTGCGGTGCGGGCGCAGCGGATGCGCATGTACTCCTTCTCCTCTTTCTTTGCTTTGGCTTTACCTTTTGCTTTGGCTTTACTGCCTTTCTTACCCTTTCCCTTGACCTTTCCACCTTCACCGTCGTCGGCATCGGAGGCGCTGCCACCTTCGTCGTCGTCGTCATCAGAGGAAGAAGAAGAAGAAGAAGAAGCGGAGTGGTTAGGGAAGGAGGAAGGACCAGACTGCCCCATCTCATCCCCAATCTCATACTGCACGTACGCTTCAACAACCATCATTGCAATGCTGTGGAAATTCAGCACCGCAAGCGCGGGCTCTGGGTCGGGTGTCGACAGCGCTTGCTGGCCCGGTAAGAAGATATTCGTAAGAAGTGCTAATTCTTGGGCGGCGTGGTCGGGGGACAGGACGAGGGGCTCGCGGATTAAGCCTGGTAGGGAGATTTTCGCAATGGGCAGGGAGGGGTCTTTGGTGGGTTTGGCTCTAGAGGAAGAGGCAGTGCTGAGTTTGGGAGGTGGGGAGGGGGAGAAGTGGATGTCGTAGGAGGGAAGTTTCCAGTTTATGGGGGAGGGGGCATGGGGAGATGGGGCTGCGGATGGGTGGCGGGCTAGACGGGTTCGGAGGGGTTCGTCGTCGTCGGATGAGGGCTCTTCTCTTGTGTCTTCCTCGGGAGCTTCTGGTGTGGTCTGCACACCCTGTGGCTGGCTGTGGAACTTGGTTGCCTGGCTTGATGAATTGTGGCTCTGCGCAGAGTACGAGGCAGGGGACTGCTTTGATGCCGTTTGGCCGTATGAAAACTCAGACTGGCCCTGGGACTGATAGTTTGTGCTGCTGTTTCCAAACGGGAGAGTTTGATATGTGCTTTGAGGAGCTCGCTGGTAGCTCAATGGTCCTGTTAGAATTGAAGCTGGAACATCTGCTTGATTCTGAGAGAAGCTGAAGTCACTGTTTGCTTGTTGACCCTGGTGTGGATACTGCTCATACATTCTTTTTGCATTCTCGAGCTGGCGTTTCTTGTTGTCAACTTGTACTTGGAGCTGCTGCTGACGATCAAAGTTCGGGTCGAAAGAGAACTCGTTGAGCTGGGTAAAAGGCTGTTGTTGCGGGTAGCTTTGGAAGCGTGGGTTGTATGAAGCAGGAGTACTGAAGGGCTCAAACAATGTAGAGATGTCTGGAGTGGAGTATTCGAGTGGAATAAAGTCAAAGCTGTGGGTTTGGTAACCTTGTAGCTCGTCCATATCCATTGTCGTTTGGTCCTTGAAGCCTGGATTGGCAGTCTCTTCATGACGCCGAGAGTCTATTGCTTTGATGGAAGTCAAGGACGGATGACCCTGCCCATGCTTGTCTTCGACGAAACCAGAATACTTGGCGTGTCCATGTCCTTCGAATCCGAGTTGCATCTTCTCTATAGGGCCCTGAACCGGCTCTTTCTCAGGCGCAGTCACGTTCGGAAGAGTCGATGAATGAATCCCCCCATCATTCACATCCATGCGCTCGAGATCGTTTGTCGAGCGCCTAGGCTCCAATTCGATAGCAGCACCGTCCAATGAGTTTGCATTATCCTGGTCACCACCATTGCCGAGCCCATCAAGTCGCTGCTGTTCACCCATAACTGTCTCTCTGCGCTCTTGACCCCAGGCTGCAGCACCGTTTGATTCAGCCACCGAATCTTGCATCTCCACGTTCAAGAAGAAACCGCTTGATTCTTCAGCTCTCGCAGTCTCACTGGCTTCTCCTAGCTCGTAAGAACGAAATTCGCCTGTAGGCTGCATGTGTAGGATTCTCGGCGCTATCAAAGTCAGTATCTGAAAAGTTGTAATCAACGGAGTGGCATATACTCAATTGGGATTGTGACGCCGGTGGGATGGTTTGTTTTTGCCCAGTCGAACACAGTCGGAAAGATTGATTGTTGATAGAAGCAAAATAGAGATCATGTGAGGAGAGTCAAAGGGTATCAAGAAGAGGAACTGCGTGAAAGCTATATATGGGGTTGGGAAAACGCTTTTCACTGCCGGTTTCTTGCTCACCTTTACCTAGGTGGGGGCCAGGCTTGCTCTTACCTTGCAGCGTGCCGTTTGACACATTAGCGGGTTTCTGTAGTAGGCGGTATGGGCTCGTGGGTGCTGGTGCCTTACTAGAGCACATGCCTGAGCAGAAATGGTAAGCTTGATCTGGGAAATTCAAGCGCTGGAGTGAAAGGACTCCAAAAGAGCGGTAAGTTTCCGCGAATCAATTAGAGAGAAAGGTCTGTGAATTAGGCTGCGAAGATTTCAGCACGCAATACAGGGACCCGATGGGCAATGCCGCACAAGGACTAAAGAAACTGACAGGTGGTGAAGAGCACATCATTTCATTCCTTTCCGTCTTCACTCTATCCCTGCCACATCTGCCTTCAACCTCGTTACAAATCCATCAAAAAGCGGATAAAGCGAGCAATCCCGATACTTGTCCACGAGACTCCCCTCACTATTCCTCGCCTTTGCAACATCCTCCGTACTCACATCCTTGCCCTGCATAACTGTCCCTTGTGGGTACACAGGCCTGGTGCCGCTCTCAATCAATTCCACAAACGCTGGGTCTATTGGCACACTGCCCAAAAAGGGAACCTGGAAGTCATTTGCCATGACCTGTCCGCCTCCTTTGCTGAACACATTTGTGCATTCCGAGCAATTGGGACATACGAAGCCGGCCATATTTTCCACCACACCGAGAACGCGTATGCCCGTCTTTTTACAGAAGTTGAGTTCCTTCTTTACGTCGCTGATGCTGATGGCTTGCGGTGTTGTTACTACTACCGCGCCAGCAAGAAAGGGTAGGTTCGGGTTGAGCGAGGGCGAAGGGGTCGTGTTCTTGAGGAGAGTTTCGAGCAAGGAAATATGCTCGTCAGAGGTACCAGGCGGCGTGTCGATAAGAAGGTAGTCGAGCGGTGGCCAAAGGACATCGGTGAGAAACTGGCGGACCATGGCTGTCTTCTTGGGGCCACGCCAGATGACAGCGTCAGAACGGGAAGCCAGGATGAAGCCTAGCGACATGCACGATAGCGGTCCAATCTTTTGATCTTGTGCACTCTCTCCTTCCTCATCCTTTAATTTCTTCCCCGGCAACGTCTGCGCTCCATGAACATCGACTGGTATCCAACCACCCGGCGCCTGCCTCACTTTTGAATCCTCGATGCCAAAGAAGCGCGGTATGCTCGGGCCCGTAAGATCGATATCCAAGACGCCAACCGAGTGGCCTTGCAGCGACAACGTAAGCGCGAGTTGTGTGGTGATGCTCGACTTGCCTACCCCGCCCTTGCCGGAGAGCACGAGGAGGATGTTGCGGATGTTATCGAGGGGCATCGCAGCCAATTCAGAGCGGGACGGATATGTTATATAGTCTCTTAAGTTTCGCAAAGCAAAGTCTCATCCAGGAGATAGCTGCGACTGGAAAAGAAGAAGTTCGTTGTCGTAGCAGGGTAAAAGGCGCATTGTGTAAGGTGCTTGACGATGGTGGAGCGCTTTGAAATCCAAAGAAGTGGCGGGTTGCGGCGAGATCGGAGGTCCGACCTTGAGCCGAGTTGACCTGTTCACCCAGTACATCACTCCAACAGCAAGATGATTCCTCATGTACCGCAGCACTATGTTCTTCTTTGCAGATTTATAGATGTAGATGCATAGTAGCTCCCATCTTGCAAAATATTAGTATACGAACACTGGTAAAAAAAAAACATTACTCCCCCTCCGCGCACGCTACAAAGCTATTAGGCAGGAATGGAAAGCAGGCAAAGACAGGGCAACCACAATGATTGATTCCAAATAAATTATGAACTTTGTAGACATTTTTCAAGGAAAAAGAGGTCGTCGGCTAGTGATAAGTGGGATTTTCACCTCTAGCTAATGAATACGCATTCCACCTCTGAAAAGCTTTCTAAATCATCCACCAAGTTTTGAATTTTACCAAGCAATTCCAATCAATATCTTGAAAATCACGCTGATTAACTTGATTTGAAGCTCAAGAGAAGCTCGAGCTATCTAAGGCCTTCAGGGCTTTATGACGTACTTCACGGCGTGGGCTTCGCTTGCCTTCAAGCGCTCAAACGCTGTGATAACTCAGTTGAGTACCCTTGGTACCTCATGTCTCTGTGACCTGAACCAGCCTTCCTGTAGACCCCTCCCTACAGATATGGAGATGGTGAAACCAAAATCCTTCTCCCTCCCATGAATAACCGATACGCTATACTTGTTGTGTGTGACATGACTTGGAATGCTAGTGCATTCTTTCTCAAAAAAGCACAAGAGCAATATGGCCGCCAGTGGTAGTGCGGGCCGGCTCGTTGCCTCGGGGCGTGCCTAGATGGACAACGAGTATGTTAACGCCCCGGAAGAGGCTATTTCCTGATTCCGGTTGGTATTGCTACCGCCGCCCTATCTGCGTTGATATCGAATACTACTTACACCCATACCTATACTAAGGCTCGGGATAGACTATCTCCAGATTCTGACTAGTATTGCACCGCCCTTTCCGTCACGTCATCATGGAGCATTGCTACGGTTTTAATACCTACACTTGGGATAGACCATCTCCGGATTCTGACTCGTGTCACTCTAGTACTGCCGTAACTGTCCAGCATACTTGACTCGTACCTGGTACACAAAAACAGGTAGTTTTACACTTTCGATAGTGACTTTTGCACATTAGGCTTGCCGGGATACTTGACTACTAGTGAGCAGCACCGAGCTCGAGCAAATCTCTGACTGTTGAATCTGAAACTTCATATCCAATATCTGTCGGTTACGGCTCATTGACTTGCCTTGGATAATACTCGAACCACTCTCTGATGATAGCTCCTTTCTGTTTACATGAACTAATCTCTAACAAGTTCTATACTCCACCTCGTTCCCTACTCTGATTGCATGTAGGCGTAGATTCACGCACAAGGGGTAATTCCACTTATTTTCGGAGAGAAAAGATCAGTTCAGTGTTCGTACGAAGCACTACATGATTATAACTGCAGATTCAGCAGGTATACCTCTACCTCTCTCTTCAGTCTATGACTTAAATTGGATGATCTGTTTGGCATATCACATTCTGGCTTTTTTCAGAAAAGAGTGATAGGTCACATCCCAACCTGTCGGAATCGGCATCAAAAAAGACTCCATATTCAGATACTTGACGCATCCCCGAGGATTGGTCTTACTGGGCCTCAGTTCAGAAAATCGTGAGACATACTTAGCATATCATGGCCTAGAATAGAAGACTGGGTAGGCTTTACAGTAAGCAATTCAGTGATATCTAAACATCTTGGTCAATCTACTCTACAGAAGGAGTTTATTGGCAGATTGGCTCATCTTGCGGGCTTACGTAGTCTAAGCTTGGCACTTTCTACACTATCATTAAGCCATCTTATTCCAAGACGGGAAAACAGGTTCTTCTGCAATCTACGTCCTTAAAAACAAAAAATAAACACACATGGTTAAAACTTTGTATCGTGTAGAGTTTTATTTGTATATGGGAATTTATTTCTCGCAAATATACGAGAGGGACGTGTATATCCTAAACTCCTTCCAAGGGCACATAACCATCGCTCAATGCTTTCTAATTTCAACCGAACCAATCTTCATGTTGCCTGCTACCCCCTTTTATGAAACAGCCTTCCTTAGAGGGGCCTCTCCACCAACCTCCAGCCTATAGCCCTCAGCGCCCTTCTCCGTCTCCAGATCCTTGGGCTTCGCTGCCTTGGCACCCACCTCGGGGAAGGCAAATGCCTTGCTTCTACCTCCCTCGAGGCCCTTCCAGACGCCAATTGTGTTCCAATTCGTCCATGTCGGCGCGCCCACCCAGGGTTGTACATTCCAGCCTAGCTCCAACACTACATCTGTCCTGTTGCCCAGCTTTCCGGTAATGTCTGTGATCTGGTATTTGGGCTTCTGGTTCTGGAGGTGAAGCTCTCCAATGGGGAATGGCGAGGGTGTCTTTTCTTTGGCAGCCGCACGTTTCTTGGCGGATTGCTTGGGGAGCTTCGACTTGGGGTCGGGGTGGATGTAGTGGTTCTGGTGCCAGGGTGCCGAGGTGGAGGCGATGATGGCGTCCCAGATGATGGCTTCCGAGGGGGGCTCGCCGGTGCGGGTGGAGGGGTAGACGGCTTTGAGGTAGACGAAGAGTTGCTTGGTGTTCCAGTTGAAGAGGCTGGTTAGATCTGCGGTATATATGTGAGCAACTCTTCTTGCAATCCACCTGTCCCATTGCGCATGCATAAACGTACCGGCATCCAGGTCAAACTTGATGTGCGCATACTCCTCCCTCTTTGGCGAGTAATAATGCGGCCTGCCCTTGACTACCTGCACATTTCGTAGCGATATGCTGGCGGTGGGGTTTTGCGGTGTAATCAGACTACTCAGCGCAATCACGGTCGCGACTGTGAAAGCTACTGTGGTAAAGAAGCCAAAGACATTCTGCAGCCGCACCAAAGTTGAATGCATGCTGTATATGTATGTGAGCGCGAGGCTCAAGGACGCTTATGTAGAGATATAAGCGAACTCTCTTGACGGGGAGAGACAGGCTCGTTGAAGACGGTTATGTGGACATGCAACGTTTACCCAGTGGTCCTAACACGTATCCGACCTCTCGCGCGGACGTCGGCGCTCAGCCTTACGAGAGAGCCAGGGTCCATTTGGCGCTAGTCCCCCTTGAGTCGACCATCTTTGTTGAACATCTCGGTACAGATACACATTCGAATTAAGACATGGAGAGTATATGTGATTTGTTGGTTTTCTTCTAGTGGGGGAGAAAATACTTGCAATAGCCACGTGTGCTGGACAATATCCAACCACCTGTTTCTCCATCCTGATCTCCAGGCCCGAATCTCTAAAATGAATAAAACTCCACCTCCGCAATGCCCGTCCGCGCTGGAATAGTAATCGCAATGGGAAATCCTCCATAATCAGGATCTTCATTCGGCATCACCGCACTAGCTCCGCTCCTCGTCTCATCACCTCCCAGCGTCCTCAGCGTCCGCAGTTTTCCCGTCGCCACATCCTCTACGACCTTCTCCTCATTCTTCAAGATGCCATTAAACCTAGTCCCAGATTTGGTCGACTGTCCCGTAACCTGGAAGCCCCATCCGATGAGGAGGAAGCGCGCGCCGCCACGATGAATCACCATGCCACTGCCCGTGTCGGGTTTCCCAAACACAAAAGCACGCTCAATGGTTATATCCCAGTCGCCGAAGCGCTGTCGAATGGGTTTTGACAGATCCTTATCGCCAGATATTTTGTCGAAACAGAAACCTACCGACGAGCCGGGTTTTCTTTGCGCTTCGAGAACGAGTTGAGAAACTTGTGCTAGTAATCCATAGTGTTTCGTAAAAGGATTGCTTTCAGGTTCTAGTGTATCAATACCGAACGGACTCGCTAGCAGAGCTTGAAATGTCCCGTAAGCTATCCAGATGCGTCGGACACCGTACTCGTCCCTTCGTTGTTCTGGGATAAAGAGTACATTCCTGCCATGTCGATACTTGCCGCACAGGGTCGTATATTCGTTGAGATAAATGTCTGGCGCGATGAACTCGAGATTAGGTGCGAAATGAAGCCAAATGTCGAGGACGTTGGTAGTTCCGCCTCCAGAAGGGTAGTCGCCTGGCTGGCCGCCTCCTCCTACAACTGTAGGAGTTTCGTTGTCAGCATCCTCGCCTGCATAATTTTGCCACACGTTGGTGTAAAGCGGAATTGAATACTCTGCTTTGCCTGCTGCTGCTACCCGATCCACATAACGTGCATAGTGGTATGCCATGAAAAGCTCGTCTGTCCTATTGCTCTTGCCAAAAACCTCTTCCCAGCTCCCAGACTGCGGCTTCGACTGCGCAACGAACGTCTCGAGGTTAGCCCTGAGATCGGCATGCAGATTGTCGTACTCCTCTGCCAAAAATTTGAGGAGATCTTCAGGTACAGGCTCTGCGAAAACGCTGTTGGCTTTTGCGCTCCCGTCCCGACTGTCAAACAGCAAGCCAACTTCGTTTTCGACTTGAACCATTAACACCGTACTATGTTTCTCGTCAAATTCTTTGATATGTGCAAGCAGCTTTCGAAATGCCTTTGCATCCGCTTCAATGCTCTCTTCGTAAAACAGCGAAAGCACATCCGCAACCTCTATCATGCCTCCAGCTTTCCGCAGCTCTGCGCGTGGGAACCGCTCCGGATTTGTCTTGATCCAGGCTGGCGCATAAGTAGATCTTCCTAAAAACATCCTGAATCAATTACTTTTTCTCAGAGGGAGCAAGTAGCAAAGCATCCGACTCACCATTCTTGAACGATCCAAACCATAGCAAAATCAAGTGCAAGCCATGCTCACGAGCACCCAAAATAACTTTATCCAACTCTTCAAAGTCAAACCTCTCTTCTTCAGGCTCAATCATTTCCCAGCTGACGGACCCAAGGAGCGTGTTCACATTCGTCGCAACCATCTTGGGCCACACCTCGCTCATGAACTCTGCCGATGATAACGACGAATTCTGGAGCTCCCCTCCCAGCATAAGATACGGCTTGCCGTTGACGATGAGCTGTTTGGTGCTTCCATATTGCTGGAGGTGCGGAATATGCGTACTGGAAGCCATGGTGTCTTGGGACTGCTCAATGAACTTGGCAAGTGTAAAGAAGAGCAATCGGATTCAAGGAAGTTTTGATCATAGACAGCCATGGCTTTAAAAACAGTCAATTGCTTGAGTTGCGTTTCTCCAACAGCGAGTGGAGTCCCGCGGGGCTTCTGCTCCACGCGGGGTAACGCTCACCGAATAGCGGATGGCAATGACATCTACCGGTGCTAAAACCACGGGCATTTGGGGATCTCCAATGCTCCTCTATTGCATTAGGATTGTGAATGACGGGTGCTTAGCTAGTCCTATCAATTTCAACGTGCTCTTTTTAGCTCACTGATTGTTGATGTTTTAAGTGGGAAGTAGGGAATAATGCTCGATAAGTATGCACCTACACATCGATCAACATCGGGACTAGCGTCGCACTACCCCATCACCTCCCGGCCTTATACAAGGCGCAACCTCCAACAACCCGCTTTCCCACAGTGACTTTATTAAGAATTTCAATCATCTTGAGGAATTCATCAAGCCCATTTAAACCCTCTCACCCCCAAATCTTCCTTGCAGACCTCCTTCTCCACACCGCTCCCACTCTAGTCCCAAGCCCATAGTGACACACCCCCTCAATAACTCCATCCATTGCCCCTCCCCTTTCATCTCATTGACCACCCACTTCCTGATCATACCCCATTCAAATCTATCACAGATATCCCATGACATAACCCACCTAACTAGCTGCAAAAACAAGTCTCTCCGTCATAACATCAGGCCTAGCCAACTACACCAGCTCCGAACCGCCTACCAAAATTCAAACACGGTGATCCGACGGTATCTGAATGAACCACAACCCAATACCACATACACATCTCCAATAACAAAAACCTTCAACCAACCGTGCTACGTACTCCAAAAAGCCATCTCACGACACCCTCTCATTCTCAATCCACGCAGAGACCTTTTTTTCCCCTCTACACTCCAAAAACGCTTCATCTTCCTCTCCCATCCAGAGAGCATCAGCTTCACTCTCATAAAAAAGGGGTTTCTGGACACCGGATTCTGTTTCCGTGTTTCCCGTGTCCAGGCCACAGAACGAGAGTTAAGCTCAAGATAACTGTGGTTTTTTTTCTTCTTCTTCTTCTTCTTCTTCTTCTTCTTCTTCTTCTTCTCGCCAGACAAGAGGGTGGGGAGTGGTGAGAGATGAGAGTGTAGCGCGGAGTGAGTGCGGTCGTAATATGCTCTGCTGGTTTAGTGGGGTGGATGGAATGGGATGGGATGGGGGGACTTTGCGCACATTTGTAGAGAGTAGGGAATTTGGAGGGATGTGTGGTTATTTTCAATTGGGGGTGCGGCGAAAGTGCTGTGGGGAGAATGTAAAGGATGGGTGTTGGGGAATGCGAGGTTTCTAGTGTGTAGACTGCGACGATAGATTTTATCTTGGGTTTGATGATGGGGATTTCGGTGTTGTTGTCATGTCTCTCACGTTTTTCTCAGGAAGGTACTAGATGTTAATGATATGATACCATCTATCAATTCATTCGCCTATTTTCTATAGCCTATTCTCTTTTTCTGCTCCTTCTTCTTTGTATATACCATCATTTTTCTCATGCGAGTCCAAGTCTAGGCTACCCACTTGTTGATTCCCATCCGAAACCTGCAGTGGGCAACGACTCTTTCTCCGCTTGATTCTCGGTGGACTGATGGGTTCGACGAGGCTCCATCTCTTGTTTGTCACAGTACCAGACGGAACGCTAGAACCACTAACAATTGAGCTAGTTGCCTCTGGTGGGGCCAAGGCAGTCACCTTCTCAATAGTACTTCTGCATAACCTTAATTCGCGGGAAGCGCGTATACCCTTGGCCAGACGTCACGGGAGATTCGGCCTCTGTGAGCGGACTCTGCGGCGTACCCTGCAAAAGACAAGAACTCGTCCGCTGCGTCGTCTTTCCCGTTATACGCTCCGTCGCAGCAGCGTTATGAGACCCATTCATCTCCCTGGTATACTTCTCAACCAACAATGCAACATCTCTCGCATGCCCATCAAGCTTATCCGCATCCGGCACCGAAAATTTCTCCTTTGCCATGCGCTCCAGGTCTTGCATAGTGACAGCATCCTCCCACGTCCTATCATGGTGAACCTTCGTAACCCGCGGATGACGTAGCATCTCAAATGACGCATGAGGCAACTTGTCAAACCCTCCCCCCCAGAATCTCAACGACCAAGGGGTTCCTAAAGGCGACAGTCATACGTCGGCCGTGGTAGTAGTAGTCCCTGAAATTAATTATGTCAAATTCAGCGGTGGCGCCACCACGACGCTCATGCAAAGTGGTCTGACGAATATAGCCCTGGATATTTAGATACTGTGCGTCAGACCTCGGGATACACTTTTCAACGCTCAAACTAGCGACGACTGTGAACCGTGCCTTGGCCCCTGTCAGTAGGACCGCATCCCTGTTGACGCAGCATCCCAGGTAAAAGTGTGACCAGTGTAGAGGCTTTAGATTCGTCTTTGTTGCAGCCTGCGCGTCAAAACTGGCTCCAATGACAGCGAAGTCGCCCATGTCTCGCTCACCGCCCATGTCGCCTAAGTAATCCTTCTTGAGCTTGATGAAGAAACCTGTTTGACAGCGGCCTTGCTCAGATAGCACGGGCAGATAGGGCGCTTGCAACGGTTTCAGTACCAATCCTTCTTGGCGATTGGCTAGGGTGCGGGCGAATGTCTGTTTAAGGTCCGTTATACCATTCCCTGTCTTAAAATCCAACAAGGTCCACTCTGAGAGCATAGACCGTCCTGGTATGCCATGGATAAGTTTATGAAGAATTTTGCGGCGGTCCTCGAGGCAGTGACACAAAATGGGCTCGTCATCTACGGTCAAAACATCAAAGAAGACAATCATGAGATATTCCTGTTGATGCACTGCAGAGCTGTTCAACGTGACTCTGAAGGATCCTGAGCGCGTGACATACTTGCGAATCTTCGAGAATGGTAGTATTCTCTTCTCCTTGTCGCTGTATACCACCATTTCGCCAGTGACGATGCAGTTCTTTTTGAACATGGCGTCTGGCTGGCCTATACGAAGAGCGTTGCGAATTGTGCTGTGTAGAGCAGTGCGATCTGCAGTTGCATCTTTGCCGTTCTTGGAGAAGATTCGCAGGCTACTATCTTCATTTTCCAAATCAATGTGGATCTCGCAGTATTCGCCGTCGTATTTGACTTCGGCTGCCCAGACGCCATCGTCAACAAGCTTAAAACAGTTGCTGAACGACCACGCTTTTAGGAAGGTCGGTCGCCCAATCTTGACGCCGACCCTAGCCTTGAGTCTTTTCGCTGCCTCAACACGCATGGGCTCCTCTTCCCACGACTCAGGTACGGCCGGATAAGAACCAAGGTCACCTTTGAGTACATCAAAGGCTGCCTCGTAGTCGTTCTGAAACGCCAATAGCTCCGGTAACAGAAAGTGATAGTGCCGCGTTACAACTCTTTCATCCAATTCGATAGTGCAGTAATCTCGAAGTAGAAGGCGGACTAGCCATTTTGCTTCCCAAGACTCAAGCCTTGTGATGATACTTTTGAGTTCATTGTTGATGTCGAACCCTGGATCGCGAACTCTTCTGGTTCTTTCGTCAGAGAATCTACAGTTGGCAGCCAGTTGTACCAACAGGCAGTTGACTCTTTTGACTGTGATGTCTGGTTTGATGGAGAAGGTACCATTCCAAGGCTTCATGGCGCGTTCGACGTATGCACCCAGATCGCCATAGTTGCCCGTCTTCCAGCTTTCAAATAGTGTGCGCTGCCCATGACTAAAGGCGAGCAGACGTGAGAGTTTCTTTGCAAGCAAGGGCGCTTGCAAACCGTACACGCGGTCCTTCCTTTGGTGCGGAAGTAAGATGGACAGCACAGCTCCGCCATCCGTATCTGCATCGTCAAGGGCAGCTCTTTGGTTTTGGAACCAGTCCAAAACAACCTGTTGGATGGCCTCTTGTTCCTGCCTTGAAGGCAGTCGCGGTTCATTTGTGGAGATCTTCTCAATGTCTTGCAACAGGCTACAGATAGCATTGAAGGTGAGACTCATAGTCGGTCCTAATGGATAATCCTGCTGACTGGCGATGTTAGGTCCTGGGTCTAGATTCTGCAGTCCCTAAATGGATTTGACTGTCGATATCCGGCCTGATGTCAAGTGCGGATATGTGAGTGCGTCAAGAAACGCCGAGCCGGAATGCCATGGGCGCTGCACTAAGGCTATCCCGATCCACCCTATCTTTCAAGATCTAGACACTGACGCCGAAAAGGTGCATGGCCGTCCAGCGTATACTCTCGTCAGCATCCTCATCATAGTCAGGCAAGTATCACCAGGGGCGACACCCTAGCCGTGCCAGGATGACCCTCGATCTGAACGTGGACGCATACACCGGGCAACAGCAACGTGACAAAACCACTGGGGTCAAGAAATGTGACAGGCAGGGTAAGTAGATATATCGACAAGCAGGTTTCAATACAATGAGATGAGACAAAAGAGGGGACGGACGCGCGCTGGGTGGATGCAGAAGATGGTGCTAATGCGGGGTATTACGGGATCTGCCGTAGGTGTAGTGTAGGTACTGGCGCGTCCGTAGATACCAACAGCACGCCAAAGTAGGCAGGCAATCTTAACTCCGATCACTCAGTCCAGACACGATTGTTTGGGTCTGGTTCTCTGAGACATTTTCGTACCTCTATCGCATATTATCACATACCACATAACGTGACTTAACAGCGAACGTATGCATGAGCTCGTGGGGAATGGATACGCAAAAGTGGAGATGATGCCTGCCTTAGCATCCTCTATAATTCTCTTCGTGCACTGAGATACCGGGATAGAACGAGTTTAGAAAATCGTTTGATTCTATCGTGCTGGCATGTAGTTACATCTCATTGATATTGTGCTGTTTTGGTAAGAGTGTAGATTTAATCCGGACATTTTAGTTTACCGAAAGCCGATTCATCGGATTCGGTATTCCGAACAGCCGAATCTCTTATAAACTGATCGAGTTTGCTCTCTCGCTAATTGACCGAAGAAGAGACCTAGGTACAGGTGTTTCTGGACGCGTAGAACCGGGGTAAAAAGCCATTGGTTGCAGTTGGTAGAGAAGAGACACACCAATCGCAGATTGGAGGTATATAAATTCGACTATATAAGAATGGTGGCTGCGGCGCATATACTAATCGAGTTACAGGCTTGAGTTGGACAATGCCCTGGCCAACGGGACAGCATTGGAGACCCTTCGGTCGGAGGCATCCAAGAAGAAGGACCTTGTTCCGCGCGGTGACTACAGGCCTTCACCTGCCGGAAAGCTTACCTTCTTCGTGCTGCGCAGCCTCGAACCTGCTCCGCAGTGTTCGATCCTAGCGCATGGTTTCGGCACATCCGTCTTAACATCGCGTGGGACTACGAACACTACCGAGCGGGCTGCCTGCACAAACGGGTATAGGGCTGATCAATGGCCTAGGCCTGTCGCCCTACCGGCTGGTCTTGCTCACCATGTCAGTTGGCTCAGTGGTCAAGCAGAACATCTGGGTCACAATACTATCTAGGGGCTCGATGACGGTAGGTGTGGCGGTCGCGATAGCGATGCTCAATGCTGCGTCGAATAGTCTGAGCACATATGCCTTTGTCACTTTTATTTCGTCGACCTTGACTGAGGCGGACTTTCCATAGCCGGCGCTACCTATTGGGGGCACGCTTCACGTAGTTGGTATCTTGACAGAGCTTATTACGGAGATTCAGCGCGAACGGTTTAAGGCCGATCCAAACAACAAGGGTAAGGTGTGTACGGGGGGCCTGTGGGGTTTGGCGCGGCACATCAACTACGGAGGATACACGATGTGGAGAGCGGGATATGCAATGGCCGGAGGAGGATACGGGCTGGGTGCCTTGGTCGCAGCCTTTTGGGCCTAGGACTTCAGCCAGCGGGCTATTCCCGTTTTGAGTGAGTATTGCGAGAAGTGGTACGGTGCGCAGTGGGAGGCGTATAGGCAGAAGACGCCGTATGAGCTGATTCCCTATGTCTATTAGATGAACAATGGCTGCGAAAATGAAATAAAAAGCCCTGAATGAAGTGGCTTCAAAGAGATCCGTGCCTTTCGTCGGCCCCAGAGAACTGACCTTTACACACCCGCACCCAAGACTCCACGTGCACAGTCGTTCCATTGCCGTGTTCGCTAATCACTAGACAGAGTACCAAGCACCAAGCTGGGGGGCACAGACGAGCCATTGTCCTGCCGGCTGATGCTGACGCGCCACGGTACCATATCTCCAAGGGTGTTTTTGTGCAACAAAACAATGTCCATCACAATCAATTCATAATCACAACAAGGGCTCTCAGCACCGGCATGGAACCATGCCCGGATGCTAGCGGGCTGGAAACCGGATCATCTGACATACCGGATGCACGCTTATTTCCCAAAGCGGAATCTCACGATAACGATGGCAGTGCTGGAGATAGGACATCCAGTCGTCGTAGCACGATGCAGGTGCAGTTCTCGTTAGCACGGTATTATCCGCGCCGCAAGGCGGCAGTGCCTCTCACACCGCCCGTGAGTGCAAGCGACGCACTACTGTAGCTCGCATGACAGGCCTCGAGTGCTAGAGGCTTTTTTTCTCTCTTGTGAAAGAAAGAAAAAGATGGTGTGCGATCTAGCATTCAGCTAAGAGATCTGCGGACGTTGTGGCACCTTGACAACCCGAGAGCTTGGGCGCTACAGGCGGTGGCCGTGGTGGTAGCAGAGTGATTTTTCGCGGTGGGGGTATGAGAGCACGAATCATGGCGCATCACTAGGAACAGGTGGTTGGCCCTTTGGTAAGAGCGCAGGACATGTTCGCCCGGGTCGGCGATGGCATGGGAGGGGGGGGGGGGGTGGTTTGTTTTCATAGCCGCTAAAAAGACGGCAATGTTGGCATGTGCTGACACATTCATGGGGTTTCTGGTTCAGGACTGCAACGCATGCAGCGCGGGGTTACGGTTACGAGCACTCGGACGTCGAGGGTAAGCGATGATCTACAGAATCCTCAGCGTTCAGCTTTTCAGGGTCCCTTTTTTTTGTTGCGCGGCGGCAGCTGGCGAAAATGGTGATGATGATCTAGGATATGGCTGCAAGTAGGCGATTACGGACGCCACCGCAGCAAATTACCAGCGTGCTTGCGCCATTCGCAGCAATTTCCATCAAATTTCCAGAAATACATGTGGCAATTACCGACATCTCCACAGAACTAATTGTCGATGGGCAAGCAGAAACGCATCCAATTTATCGATAATGGTCAGGAGAGGGTGTGGGGTGTTGCTAGATGGTTCCGTGGCGACCGGCGCCATTTTTTTTTATCGTGTGAGTGATGGAGGTGCGGGTCAGGAATGACCGACGGTGATGGAGACGAAGAGGCTCAACAATTTTTTTGAGCTGGGATGTTTTTCTGGGCAGGAGAGATCACGATCTAAGGATATGGAAGAGCTCTAGTGCTGTAGAGCGGGGAACGGCTGGTGGTGCATCGGCGTGCATGCAAACCCCACCTTGAGGGTAAACACATGTTGGTTAGCGACCAGGTAGATGTATGTAGTTCAGTAGGCGAGTGTACAAGTAATGCTAGGCAGTGTTGCGGCAACCTGCTCAGGCGCACGTCTTGTCGAGGGTAAGACAGGCACCTGCAGCTGAAACGCTCTGTCTTGAAGCGGGCCTTGGTAGTATCCCGGCAGGAGGGTGCCGGGGTGGTGTTAGCGATGTTGAAGATTGAGCCGGTGCTGGTGCTATGAGGCATTTGACGTTGCCTGAGGTCATGACCTCAACGTAACCTCGTATCGGCCAGACGGGCGGCTGCTGAGCATGAAACACGGTGCACTTTATGTAGCCATGTACGTATATACACAGAGTAGATAGTAATACTGGATAGACGCTCTTTGGTCTGGTCGGGTCTGGTCGGGTCAGAGGTACAGTGATGAGTAGTGCAGCTCTGGGAGGGGGGCTCGTATGCAATCCGACGTTTAAACAAGGTGGATGCAGCGGAGGCGATCATGCAGCAGCAATGCTCGAGCCACGTTTGCCGATGATTCGACGCGGCAAGTGGAAAGGGTACTTGCAAGGTGTAGTGATGGGGGAAGCATGCAGCAGGCAGAGCAGAGCAGAGCAGAGCAGCGGGCGGGTCCAGGATGTTCGGCATACAGGGCCCAAGTCAGTAGGTGTATGCCGCCGGCGGACAGGGCTCCGCTCTGCAGTCTGGACGCCTGGCCTAGGAGGGAGTGAATGGCATGGTGGTATAGTATGGCGTGTAATTGCAACATGTAGCATGGCCATGTGTGAGAGAGAGAGTGTGTGTGGTATGCTGCATACTGCCACAAGGCGTGGAGGCGAGCGTGATTCCGGTTTTCAGGCGTTAGCAGGGCGACTATGGGCTAGGGTGGGTGTTGATGGCGTAGCATGGCACCAAGGCCTTTCGTCATTGACAGTGTGGTGGGTGGAGCATGAGCATGAGAGAGAAGTGGTTCCCACCCGCCGGCTCACGCCCTCGCAGCTCACAGCTCGCTGCTCGCCTTTCTAGCGCCGTCGCCGCCAACGGCAAGGACGGAGCGTATCGTACCCACGACCAAGATATAGTACGAGAAGACGGCGGCTGCCTTTGCCTCTCTGCATGCCTGCCTGCCTGCCTGCCTGCCCTGTGCCTGTGCTGTTGTCGCTGTTCTGTTTCTGGTACCACTACTGAGGACTACTACTAGTAGTAGATGCGCCCGTCGTCCTGCATGCCCGTCTGCTCCCCTCCCTCCTCTGCTGCCAGTACTGCTGCTCGTCCTTCTTGACCTCGCTCGCCGTTCACCATCACCATCACCATCACCGTCGCCGTCGCCCCGTGACCCACACCCTGCTCGTCCTCCGTCGCCGTCGCTGTCACACTGCCCTCCGTCGACGCCGCTTTGGGCCGTCTAGCCACCAGGCCATCTTCTCGCCTCGCCGCCGTGACTTTGGATCCGACTAGCTGCGAGAGGAACAGACTGCACCTGTAAGTCAGCTTTTGGCGCCATTCTATTTTGCACGATGCCACCCACACCTTCGCACCCGCTGCTTGCACGCACTACCCTCGCTCGCTCGCTCTGCTTGCAAGCATCAGCCCGCCGCCCTTCTGGGCCTCAAACGCCCGCCCGGCCCGTGTTGGCCTGACTTTTTGCTTCCTTCTTCCTGTCGTGCTTTGGTACTCTAGTAACCATTTCTAGCTCCCTCGCGCCACCGCGACTCCTGCTATTAAGGGCCCCAATTGCCGCCCGCCACTGCCTCCCTTGACCGGGCCTCGTCCAAATCGCTGCACCCCTCAGCCTCACTCGTCCCAATTCCGCCGCGGGGTGATTCGATAAATTTCCCCGCTGTCAAGCGTCACCCTCTTCCTCTTCCTGGTCTTGGTCGTCGCCGCTGCTCCGTCTGACGGCCGTATCCCATCAGCATCACTAACTAATTCCTATTGTCTCATTACCCCCCCGCCCCAAATCTCCTCAGATCGTCCGTCGCCCGGAAGCACTGGGAAGCCAGTTCCCGTGCAGCTGCACAAGGCTGCATCCCACGCTCCTGCAAGCGGGGCGCCAAGCGACCACTTCCGCCATATCGCCATCGTCAGCTCCAGCTACAAAATAAACGCCGGCTCCTCTTCGCCGTCGTGCGCTTGGACGCTGCCAAAACCATATTGGCCCTTTGTGTTTTTTCTTTGCTTTCCCGTGGGCGCAGTCACTCCTGACGTCAGGGCGCTGATTCGTGTTTCAACGCACGCGCGTCGGCAAGCGAGCAAACAGTACTACCTAAACCCAAGATGCAGGCCGTCATGGCGCAACCCCCACAACCCTCCGCCTACGGGGCCATCCCTCTGCGCCGCAAACCCGTAACCAACCCAGCCGTAGCAGTGCGACCCATATCCCAGGCCTACAACGACAACCAACTCGGTCATTCACGCACACGCACAACAAGTTCTGGTGTATTTCCAACCCCCTCGCCCACTACCGCAAACATGAATTCGCAATACCCAACCCAGTACCAAAGCAGCCTCCGCCGCACTCCCACCTCCTCCACCAGCTCAACCAACGGCACTCCCAACCGCTCCAACAGCGGTGCTCTTCGTCGCTCTTCGTCAACGCGTTCCGGAGGCAATTCGCCCACCTCGTATGTTGCCCTCATGCGCAAGCAAAAAGCCACTGTATGGTGTGATCGCGCCCAGTACGAAGACCCGCGCATGCTCGCCCAGCAGCGCCAGGCCAAGATGCGAGCAAACATGGAGGTTGCAGGCGGACCCCACCACGCTCCACCGCGCACTGCTACGGGAGGCTCAAGCATGACCGGCGGGGTCCGGTCCAAGATTGGACGTCATCACGGCTTGCCAAAAGCATCATTGTACGCTCCCGTCACCTATGCAGGATCCGGGGTACCAATGCGATTGAGCGCTTCAGAAGTAGACGAGGGTGACGACGAGGATGCAGGCTCAATGAAGAACGGGCAGTATCACCACCGCACCGGCTCCGGCCGCAGCTCCCTAGGTTCAGGTCGCCGTATATCCTACGCCAACCCAGCCGGTCGCATATCCTCCAACAGCACACCGCCACCGAATTCATCTCCTGATGGCGAGCTTGCCGACCTCAAAGAAGAGCCCACCCCTTCGCCTGCCGAATACGACCCCCACGCACCCAGCGACACTAGCTACTTCCACCACACAAAAACAAACACGAGTACCGGTAGTGGGAGCAGCGGAGAGCGCAACTTTGGCGAAATCGGGCAGATGCCTGCGCCAGGACACTTGAGGCCTCCGGTTGTCACAGACAAGAAGGTCAGCAAAGATGATCTGGTCAGGAGAGGCAGTGTCGACGAACGGACTATGACCATGGGCCCACGACTCTTCGTTGCAAACCCCGACCTCAGTGACTAGTGAACGAGGATAAGAGAGTGTTTATTATTTCTGCGATACCCGAAACAACGATTTTACTACTGATACTGAGCTTCGCGCATGACTACACCATACCATAGGAGAGCCGGTCATTCCATCCGATGCGAACCATTGTTGGCAGTTTTGTTTTCTCTCCTATTCTTTCGTTTAGGACAACAGCGTTGTCAAGTATTTGTTTTCTTTAGCCATTACTTCTGTATTTCTGTTTGTTTGAGCATCTGCAAAAGCAGGTTTGAGGCATTTGGGAGTTTTTGGCTGTTTCTGCTTTGGATACGCAGCTACAAGATGGGGTTTCGTATCGTCACAGCAGTGACTTTTTTTCTCTTCCCTTTATCTGTTTGGCTGAGACTCGGCGCATATGGCACACCCTGGTGGTTCGCTCGCTCATCATCATCATCATCATCATCATCACCACCACTACACCTTTGTATATACCACACCACACCACAACCCGCCATGGTCGCATCTGCTCCATAGGCAACGACTGATTGATTACACGCATGCATACATACAACATAAGCATAAACACTATACCATTATTCTATTGGCTGCTCCATCGCCTCGTTTGCATCCTCGGCATACGATCTGTCCCCACCTGTCTTCGTCATTTGTTTCCATACTAACGTCATTCCCTCGGCGATGCACCCACTTGTCCACGGAAATGGGAGTGGGCTGTTGGCGTGCAATACTATTAATGAAATCATCCGGCGACTTTGCGGCGCATGGATAAAGGGGCGGTGGCAACATTTAGGGCTCGCCCGAGCCGAGTCGATCATCGCGCGCGTACCTGCCAAGACGTCTGCCCGCAGCCGACCATGTGCAAGTAAGGGTGGCGAGTGGAAATGAAGCGTGTGAAACCATGGCTTGTTTGATACGAAGAATCTGACAGACATCGGGTAGAATGGTTTTGGCCATGGTTGCGGTTAATTAGTTTTGAATCAAGATTGTCTGGGTTGGCGGGAGTCGGCCGTGAGTGGGTGGGGGGTGGCGCTGGGGATCAGGGTCCAGGGCAAGGTTGAGCAGGGCAAAGTTTGTAAAGAGACATCTTTCCATGTTGATTAAAGGGAAGATTTGATAATATACAAGAGAGATGATGGTGCATATTTGAAGGGGGTGTAAGGATATGTTGGACGAACGGGTTGCTTGGCTCTCAATATGCTTTTATTCACCGACGGACGAATAGGGACGTCGCCTTTCGCGGCGCGTGTCCCTGCCAAGATGTACGAACATGGTAACTCACCGCAACAAAAGTTCACCACGTCTGCAACCACATCCTTGCGTGTGGAGGAAATAGTCCTCCAGCTCTCTAAACAAACTTCCTGGAATAGTATACACTATGATACATGCTAATGGCACTGCGAAGCGTTGCGCGCCCCAGAGAATCTTGAACGATGCAGTCGGAGTGACCAAAAACAAAGATGGCCATGAAAAGACCGACTACACAAGATGGAGGCTGAAAGCCGTCCGTGGATGTCAAACATGGCATTATCTGCAGACCGACGAGGAGATGAAGGCTTGGCCGCAGAGCACGGCCGACAAGTACTTCCTAGGTCTCGACACTGTATGTTTTAATACCCTTCTTTCAGCTGCCCCCCAGTATGGCTGCACTAGAGTTTCAACATCCCAACTCACTGGTGTAGGAACAACCAAAACTCAAGCCTGCAAGGACCCCCCTCGAAGCGGCGGATAATGGCCTCTCCTTCTTCTCTCAACTCCAACTCCCCCCGGGCAACTGGGCCTGCGAATACGGTGGCCCAATGTTCCTGCTCCCCGGCCTCGTCATCACCTGGTATGTCACCGAGACGCCTGTTCCAGCCTCCCATGCAATCGAGATCATCAACTACCTCTTTGCGCGAGCACATCCAGAAGATGGCGGGTGGGGACTACACATTGAAGGTGAGAGCACCGTGTTTGGAACGTCCATGAGCTACACCGTGCTCCGTCTACTAGGTGTGAGTGCCGAAGACCCAAGGATGCGCAAAGCGCGAGAGACACTGTGGAAGCTGGGTGGCGCGCTCAACGCGCCACACTGGGCCAAGTTTTGGCTGAGCGTCTTGGGCGTGACGTCCTGGGATGTTGTCAATCCATGTCCACCCGAGCTGTGGTTGCTTCCAGACTGGGTGCCTATTGCGCCCTGGAGGTGGTGGATTCACATGCGCCAGGTCTTCCTGCCCATGTCATATGTCTACGCAAAGAAGTGGTCGTATCCGCTAAATGATCTCATCCGCCAATTAAGGGCAGAGCTCCTCATGCAGCCATTCGACACCATCAATTTTGGGGCACATCGGAATTCGATTTCACCCGTAGATAACTACCATCCCAAGTCTACTTTCCTCAAGGTGTTGTTCTGGTTCTTGGTTGCCATATGGTGGCCTTTCCTTCGCACTGAGCGATTAGCGAAGCGTGCAGAGGAGCATGTACTCTGGCTCATTCAAGCTGAGGATGAGAACACCAACTATTCAAACTTGGGCCCGGTCAATGGTCCCATGAATACATTGTGCATGTACATCAGAGACGGTCCTAATTCTCATGCTTTCCGTGAGCATCTCAAGACACTCCCAGAGTTCATGTGGATCAAGGACGAAGGTATGCTTATGAATGGCACCAATGGTGTTCAATCATGGGACACTTCGTTTGTGATTCAGGCTGTCGAATCGTGTGGCTGGTCCAAGGAAAAGAAGTGGGAACCTATGCTAAGGAAATCGCTCGAGTTCCTGGAGGACCAGCAAATTCTTGAGGAAACCAGAGATCAACACGCATGCTACCGCCAACAGCGTAAAGGTGCGTGGGGTTTCAGTACACGCAAACAAGGATACACCGTCAGCGACTGCACTTCAGAAGGACTCAAGAGTGTCTTGATTCTGCAAAACGACAACCAATACCCCCAACTCATCGACGAGCGCCGCATTAAAGATGCCATCGACATCCTCCTCACCATGCAAAACGCCTCTGGCGGCTGCGCCTCGTACGAACCCACCCGTGGCAGTATCCTCCTCGAGCACCTCAACGCCGCCGAAGTCTTTGGCCGCATCATGATCGAGTACGACTACCCCGAATGCACCACGGCCGTCGTAACCGCACTCCACATGTTCCAGCAGCACTACCCCAACTACCGCGCTGCCGAAATCTCCGCCTTCTGCGACCGCGCCGTAGCCTACATCCGCGACGCCCAGCGGCCCGACGGCTCCTGGTACGGCAGCTGGGGCATCTGCTTCACCTACGCCGGCATGTTCGCCCTCGAATCTCTCAAGTGCTCGGGCGAGCAATACAACAATTCCGAGCGTGTACGTCGCGCATGCCAGTTCTTCCTCGACAAGCAAATGGATGATGGCGGGTGGGGCGAGACGTACAAGAGCTGTGAGGATGGTGAGTGGCGGCAGCATCCGCAGAGTCAGGTTGTGCAGACTGCGTGGGTCATTATCGCCATGCTTGAGGCTGGGTTTCCCGACAAGGAGCCTCTGAGGAAGGCGGTGAAGTTGATTATGCAGAGGCAGCAGGAAAATGGGGAGTGGTTGCAGGAGGCGATTGAGGGGGTATTTAATAAGTCTTGGTATGTTCTTTTTTTTTCTTCCTGTTCCTTTCTTGATGGTTTGAATGCGAGAGACTAATGATGGGGAAACAGTATGATTTCTTACCCCAACTACAAATTCATCTTCCCTGTCAAGGCCCTAGGCATGTATGCGAGGCGCTTTGGAGATGAGGCTATTCTTTGAGAGAGAGAGAGAGGAAATTCGTCGGGGGCAAGGGGGCAGGGTTAAATAGGGTATTTTTTCTTCTTCTTCTTCTTCTTCTTCTTCTTCTTCTTCTTCTTCTTGTGCTTGGGAAATAATGCATTTGTTCTGTAGCATCAATGATTATTCGTCTTCGATTGACTTTTTTTTTTGGTCTCGGTTGCTTGGAATCTTTTTTTCTCATTCTTCTCGATACGTGATTGCAAGTGTGACGAGGCTAGGGATATCGAAGCGTTGATGTTGATCTGTCGGCCTGTAGGACTTGTGTTGTTTGTGCGTAGGGCTCTTGTCTAGACCTTTTTGCGGGTTGTGTACCATAATCACGTATTTGGATAAGACACTACTGCTCCCTCTACGCATAACATTTTGGGTGAAATATAACTCCATCTAATACGGCTTGAATCTAGCCTTATCCTTTTCTTTCTTCTCCTTGCGCTTCTTCTTCGCCGATGCCGCGGCGTCACCTTCATGCAGGTCTGCGCTGTCTGAAGTCTTCCATGCGCGGACCTGGCAGTCTTCGCCACAGGTGTATGTGGTTTGTGTCTGGGAATTTGGGGTTAGTGACAGTGTATGAAGATCGAAGGAAGGGAAAGGGTGGTGTGGCACTTACGTGTATATCAGTGAAAAGGTCGCGAACAATTTCTTCACCGTGAGCGCCTGCAAGCAATGTGGCGTTTGTAAGATCGAAGGCGTAGTCCAAGGGGCCGTTTGTGCCCTTGGTAATGGGTGTGAGGGTGGCTTGTTTCTCGCTGTGTGGTGTTTAGCTCTTGAAATCGTGACTGTAGAGTTTTTTCTATCAGAAAGACGTACCTGTGCTTCCCTGCTGCTATACATGGCTGCGCACCAATCCAGCACAAATCAATCACATACTCGCAGCCTAGCTCTTCCCGCACATCACCGCACACCCTGGGCGCTGGCTCCTCTTCTTCCTCTTTCTGGCTCTGTAGCGCGTAGAAACTCACCGTCTCGTCCGTACCAATGGCGTACATATCTGTGCCGGGATACAGGAAGCCTGCATGGGCAATGGCAGAGCCGTGGTTGATAACTTGGTACAAGGCGTCGTCTTCATCGGCTTGGGTGCTGTCAAAGATGTTGATGAGTCCATCTGTGCTGGATGAGAGGAGTAGGTTTGGGAGAGAAGGGTGCAATGAGAGGTTTGTCACAGTGTCTGTGTGGGAATCTATGTAGGAGCGTAAGGGTGCTGAGAGATTGCGCTGGTCCCTGGCAATGAATTAGTATGGCCTGAGGGCTGACGAATCAAAGGCATGGTGGGAGAATACCAGATATAAACCGGAGAGCTGTTGGGTCCATCTTCTGGGTTCTCAATGCCTGCTGCGACAAAGTTCTTCTCGGCATCGCATATCAGTGCTGAGATGAGTTTGTGTGCTGTACCAATCGTTAGCTGCTGCCCAATAAATCTGAAGTATCTAAAACTGACGACTCTCGATTTGCAAAACTCTTTGCTTGCTTCGCTTGTCCCAGAATTTTACCAATCCATCTCTTCCTGCAGTCGCGACGACATTGCTGGGCGCGTCATTTGCTCTTTCCAGGCACGTGATATTTTCGTGGGCCTTGGCGACATGACCATCGGGTCGAAGACCTGCTGTTAGAAAGCGGAGAGAGTCGTCCGATGATATCAAGGCTAGTTGGTCGGTAAGAGAGTAGGTAAGAGGGTCTTGTCGTGGCGATGTAGAGATGATCTTGTAAATGTACGAGCCGGCTGAAAACCCGGCGTCTGTGCTGGCAATTTCATTAAAGGGCGCCATATCAAGCGAAGCCAGAACGCGTATTTGGTATTGCCAGGGTCGCGGCGAAGGTGCAGTTGTCACGGAAGATGAGGTTGATTGAATCAAGGTGACGAGAAGAAATTTTCACAGCAATGAGCACGAGGTCTTTGCTTCATTCAGGTCCAGTGCACATCATGAATACCTATCGTTCAGGGTCGTAATTGTAATACCTTGACTGCGAAAGCAAGGCCCATCCCAGATGAACATGTTTCCTGAAATTGTCATAGGTCGCAGGCTGATGTACTGACTTAGACGGGTTCTGCTGTTCAGCACAGAAAATGCCAGCACTACTCGTCACATCACGTTGCCTCACAGTCAGCGATACAAAGGCCGTCCAAGCAGACAGCAGCATCACCAACACATGACGTAAGTATGTAGCCTTGATATGAAACTCGTGCAGACACAGCTTTCGTCGACACAAGCGATTAATACAGGCAATCCCTCTCCGATCCCTCCAAAAGCCCCATCCACTGACATAACGCCAGCAGACAAAGTAGGCCGTCACTCCTGCAGTTCAGCACGTCAAGCGCTCATTGCCGGCGATATCGAGGTTCGTTGGAGAAGAGGAAGAGCATCGCGGGCGCACGCGAGAAAATATCGGGTGTCAGCGAAGCGAGTGACTAAGCAGCGTAATGCGCACCGGCTGATTGGCCAGACGGGGGACCTCGGGAATCGGGAAGATTTGGGCTGGCGAAGGGTAGCACGTGTATTGACGACGACATCATTCACCCCTCAACCACCTCTCGACCGACAATCAATTGATATCGGGACGCACCATCATGGCTTCTCAGCGCATTTTCCAGCTCGGCCTGCGACGCGCAGCTGCGCCAGGCCTGAGGGTGCAGCCTGCAGGACGCATGGTTCAGCGGAGGTATGTCATAGCACTTGCAGGAGCATCACGACGAAGCTCTTCTCAGCCACCCATTCGCACCAAGAGCCATAGTAACAGAAGAATGTAGACTCGCAGCGACCGAGCATGCTTCTCAGTCTCAGGCTGCCGAGATCCTCGCCAAGCAGCGCGTCAACCGTCCAGTCTCGCCCCACCTTGCCATCTACAGACCCCAAATCACCTGGATTGCCTCAGGCCTCAACCGTATCACTGGTCTCACCCTGTCCGGCTCTCTTTACCTCTTCGGAATTGCATACCTCATTGCGCCTTACACTGGATGGCACCTCGAAACACAGTCAATGGTCGCGGCCGTTGCTGCTTGGCCCGCCGCGGTCAAGGCTGGTGTTAAGACTTTCTTCGCACTCCCCTTCTTCTTCCACTGCCTCAATGGTGTCAGACATTTGGCTTGGGATATGGGTGTTGGCTTCAAGAACCAGCAGGTCATCCGTACTGGCTGGGGTGTTGTTGGATTGACAGCCGTCTCGACCCTTTACTACGCTTTCCTGGCATAAACGAGCAGCGACTAGTTCAGAGCAAGATTGGTCTTGAAAAGAAAGGTCGAGTAAAAAGTGGGGATGATTGGAATGCGAAAGACGGTCGGTCTCTGGAGACATCAAGCAACAATGGGAACAGGAGTGGGGTACATTTAAGGCGATAGTGAGGAAGCCGATATGTATTATGTATATTTTGAATCGAACATTGCATGTGCAGCCACATGCAAGCAAGTACGAAGAGTATTTTGTTTTGATCTCCGCATTCCTTCATTAGTTTAGGAAATGAAATCAGCTAGAATCTAGTACTTGAGCATTTGCTGCATGGAGCAAGCCTATTACACCCATCGCTAGCCCTGTGGCACGTGATTACGTGTCGGGTGGGCATCGTCCAATTGGCGCGTAACCGTGTCGGCTGGATCCGAGCGGGAAAGGCGAAAACCAACACCATATTCGTTTGAAGCCGCGGTTTGAGATGTGTCGTCGCAATGGAGGAATCACAGGCCTCTACGGTGCTCGGTGAGAACTTGTACGATGTGAGCTGCCGTCTTGCACATGCATTGAGTGATGAATAGCGCGACACCTAACCCCGGTCGCCGATCATTCACGTCGCTGAACTGACGCCACTTTCAGGATCCATCTCAGCTCTCCCAGGCCCTTCGGCAGCGGGCCTGCAGCGACAGGCCATTCTTCTTTACCACCTCGACCGATAGCCAGCCACCGGAGAGCCACGGTCACAGCCACGGCGCTGCACCCTTCTTCGATCGCGGTGCTTCCCCACGACGCGCCGTCCATGCGAACCATGTGAAGCCCGTTCTGCCCAAACATCACAGCGCACCCACGAGCACAGGCAACCCAAAGGAACCAGTGGCGATACCAAAGATGTTCAGTTTCAATATGACGGATGCGCCGGGGGATACGCAGCCAGATAGTCAGATGCTCAAGACGTGGACGAGCGGAATCTATTCAACGACCGACGCCAAAGACATTCCTAAATCGCTGTTTGTTGAGCATGGTGGCGACGATGGCGATGATTCGCCTACAGACGAGATGGATGTTGTTGCACCGAGTCAGGACCAGCATATCCCTACGTCTACAAGCCTTACCGTGCTTGATGCCGACGAACCGGGTGACTTTGCGCAGAACAGTCTCGCACCCACAAGTCCGCTCAAGTTCCAGACACCCGCATTGGCAGGCAGAACGAGGGGCAGCTCAGGTCCAATGCCTAGCTCGGCATTACGGACCAACACGACGCCTGGCACTGGTACTTCTGCAAACTTATTTTTTCCAGCACTGAGCCATGGAGACGAAGGGGTTGCACAACACATTTCCCTCACACAGGCCTTTAACAATACCCAGGCACCCACTTCGCCTGTAATAGATGGAGGTGCAACTGACGATATTATCTTTTCACGCCCTTCTCCAAACTTCTCGCACATACGGCATTCGAGCCCGATACCAGCGTACTCGAGTCCAATGAAAGTCACTCAACCCGAGACACCAAAATCAGACCCAGTAGTACGATCCTCCAGTCAGCCACGTGCCGAGTACGTCACAATAAGACAGTCACAGGAAAGAAGGAAGCTATCTGTAGGAGATGAACATGGAGTTCTCGTGGAGCAGGACAGCTGGGAGGAACTTTCTCGCAAAGTGCGGGCCAAAAAAGCAAGAGAACATGCCCGTCGCCAGGCCGCCAGGTCCCTGTCCAGCGTCTCGGCGCCAACCCCTGTGTTGTTGCGATCGACCAAGGAGCGTACAAGGAATACCGATTATCCATCGCCCGGAAAATCAAAGACATCGCGAAGCGGAGTGCAT